GGGGAGGGGGTTGGTGAGTGTAGCGAGCAGGGGTGGGGGCACGCAGACTCCTAATTTCCTCTTCAAATCCAAGTTAAAGACAGGTGCACTGGCCCTGTCTCGTTTCAATGACCAGGGCCATATTTTGACAATACCAAAATAACCGAACATCTGTTACAGTAACCAGATAGCAGGAAATGAAAGCCAAGAGCCAGACATAAATTACAGATTAATTATTTATTTTTAAACATTGTGAGACAGACATTTTAAAGTAACATAACCTTTAGCATCCCCCTACAATACTAAGGTGAAGACCCAGACAGGCAAAATACACACTTGCCCTCACAATTCCAAAATAGGCTGACAGTCTTGTCTTTGTCCTTCAGGTGGGAGAAGTGATAGCCCACCATTAGGGAAACCTATATTATCGGCCCACAAGTTGTTTTGGGAAGGGTGGCTTACTTCAGCCAGATGCCTACTAAGCTCCTGCCTTTGATACTAGAAACTGTTAAATGATATCCCATCATTTGCTGTTCTTTACTGATGACTCAAACACACACCTCAAAACAGCAAGGCAAGGCTGCATTTGAGGTGCAGAGTGAACCACTCAGATACACACAGATCAGTAAGATAATGCAGCCATTTCCCTGCTCTCCAGATAGAGCCACTCACCTGAGCACGCTGAACAATGCCTCCAGAACACTAACTGCATGGTGGCTGCCATGGTCACATGGAACACGCTCTGGTCTCTGGTGTGTTAATAGAACCAACTATGTTGGCAGTGTACACAAAGACCACTGCCCTCCTTGAGAAATCTTGTGCCTTACACATACTCTCCAAGTGCCAGAAACTATCTCTGGTCTTGTGGGCACATTTTCCACACCACATCACCCCAAAGTGGGGAGTCTGGGTGGAACGGTCCACAATGGACAAAACACGGGCCTCTAAAGAACTTAATATTTTTATTCTGAAACAAGTTATTAGTAACCTTCACTAATCTGAACATGGAAATCACTGTAAATTCCACAACAGATGAAAGAGGAGCTGGGTCATGAACACATAGGCAATTAGAAACAGAGACCAAGTGATGAGAGCAGAGGGAGCACAATGATTGTAAGTGTCCACGCTGCATGATACCCCCTCAAAGCAATCCAGTCATTTCCACTGTCTCCTGTACTCTTGGTGACCAGTAGCTTCTTTCTGGTGTTACAGAGCATATGATCTAAGTAGCCTATTCTTTAGTGTGAATTTCAGTGGGAGAGTCTGGAAAAAGAGAAGCTGAACCCTCAAGAGTAAGAAGACTCTGACTGTGATTCCTTCTGCTGTAACTTCCGTATCAGCTCTAACAAGTTCATCTGTAAAATCAGCTCCTGCAAAGGGAAAGACTTTGTTAAAGAAATCAGACAGTCCCATTTCTCTGACCCAGCTACTGGGCCATCAGTAACACTGGGGAATGAAAGAGATAAATTGCCCATGCAGAACTAAGGTTTATTCATGTCCACCAAATATGAAATACATTACCACATGGGATAGGATGCAAACCATTCCATGACAAGGACTGTTGTTTTAAGATAATACTCTTATGAAGGTTCCTTTTCCACTACTTGTTTGTTAGTACACTAGGTTAGGGGGGCACTGTGGTCTTTTCCCCTTATAGTCTATTGATTATGCAGCATGTGTGGCATTAGATGACACTTTCTTTTAAATACTTACAAGGTGATCACTGAAGTTTTCAGTCTGCTTGGTTTATTACTTTTACTTGCATGGCAAATTACATTACTCAAGTGTTAGGTACCCTCCCCCCCAAACAAGCAAAGCTATCCTGTTACCTTCTTTCAAAACCCTTCTTGCAAATTTCCTGTTCTTGTTAGAGCTAGACACTTATCATTGATTAGGTCCCTGGTATGCCCAAACCACTGCCAATAACATTTTTTCCTCATCCTCCCATCTGTCCCCATCTGTTGTTTGTCCTATTCAGACTGTAAGGTAGAGCGCTGGTTCCCAACCTTGTTTATACTGTGGATTGGCAAACTCATTCACAAACTTTTGACAGACTGGTAAAATGTTATTTGAATATTTATTATGCAAATTCATTTGCATGTTTGCATAAAATCCAAGCCCCAACCCCCAGAACAGCCGTGACTGCCGGTAGACACCCACCACAGAGTGACTGCCGGAGCTGAAGCCAGCTGCTGTGCGGCAGCTTGGGGACCAGGGCATACCCCAACCCCAGCCCTCAGAGCTGCTGCAAACAGCTGGCTTTAGCTCCAGCAATTGCCAGCCATGTGCTTGGGGTATACTGCAGCCCCATGGCCCAGAACTGGTCCACGGACTGGCGGTTGGGAACCACGGAGGTAGTGCATGGGGCCATGCTTTTCTTCTGTTTTGTACACAACCAGCACATGAGTAAAATGCAGGACAATGTAGCACTTTAAAGACTAACAAGATGGTTTATTAGATGATGAGCTTTCGTGGGCCAGACCCATCTAATAAACCCATCTAATAAACCATCTTGTTAGTCTTTAAAGTGCTACATTGTCCTGCATTTTGCTTCAACTACCCCAGACTAACACGGCTACATTTCTATCACTATAGCACATGAGTAGATCTCCAAAGGCTCTATGGAAATAGAGATAAATAATATTCCTGTATTTGTGAAAAATAGCAGTATAACAAACTGGAATAGGAACATGAGCTGACAGGTGCACATGATGTATGGAAAACAGTTTTTTCTATTATGGCAGTGGCTGGGGACTCCAACCAAGATCTGTATCCTTTACCAAGTTCCTTTACAGTAGGCAGCTACAGAGATGATGACAGTGATTTACAGACAAGAAAAGTGATCAGTTCACTATAATGTTAGGTGTATTTTCTAGATAAAGCAGACTGTTTCAGGCTTGAGAGGCTGCTGACATTTTTTCTCATCTCAAGGTAACCCAGATTAAAAGAGTATGGCTGTTTATACCTGTCTAGTGGTAGGGCCATGTAAGAAGTTTGTGACTGCTGCTCCTTCCTGCAAGAGGACTTAGGCCATGTCTACGCAGCAAATTAGCGTATGTAAAAAGTCAGGGTATGAATCTACAGTACATCAGGTTGCCAAGCATTAATGCATCATGTAGACAAGCTTTTAGTGCCTTGGGCTGATGCAGCAGAGCAAGGATCACATTTTTAACACTGGAGCCTGAGAATTCAAACCTTTTGCCATGAGGATGGCTTCTGATATTTTATCCTTCATTTCTTGGAGTGCAGGGGGAGGGGAGGTGGAAAGGTTCGCCATAACTTATAAGAGTATTGGCAAATCTTGCATCCTACTCAAACACTGACCTGTGGGTTTGTTGTGATGTAAAATCCAGACACTCCAGCTTTCTCCAGGGTGCTCTGCTGGTCAACTACTTTCTGGTCCAGTTCAAAGACTATTTTCTCATCCATCAGTCGCTGTTCCTCTTGAATGCGCTGCTCCATAGCCTGAGAAATGAGAAAGACACTAGGAATCTAAAGCTGGAGAAATGTAATGTTCCTCCATCAGTTACTTTTCCATTAACTTTTCTCCAGCCCTTACCTAATGAAACCCAGAAGCTACTTCGATCCTTTGGAAGCTTTAAATTGGTCCAGGACTTTTTTGTACTGCCTAAGAATCTCTTTCCTTGAAGGACTTGAAGATAAGCTAGGCAACACAATCATAGCTGTATCAGAATACAAAGACAGCTGCTCTCTTGATGAGGCTACGTGTTAAAGCACCAACACTAGATGCATACTTGTCTGCAGTAGCAAAACTAGACCCTAGAGCTGATTTGTTCACAGCCCTAATTCCTCTAAATCATGGCTTTCTAACAGGAGGACCAGTTCAGCCACGGTTACCTGCGTCTACAAACTGATTCTTTGTGGGAATTAGAGCCTTCTGGGGAGAGATCAACTCTTTCCTCCTGTGAATGGGAATATTAACACAGAATGAGTTTTCAAACCTGTCCTATTTAAAGAACGGTAATACTCCAATGTAACACAGGTCTTTTAGGATCCCAGCTTCTTACAAGCATCAACCCAATCTGTTATCCCCACTTCACAGGGCAGAGTTATGGACTGCTGGTTGGAGCATGGACTGAGATAGGGCTGGAACTAGCTCTGCCACCAATTCATTGGATGGTTGGCCCTGGGCCAGTCCAAACTTCTGCCTCACTCCCTTTCTGTAAGATTACTTAACAGGATTATTGCAAGTATGAGATGATGATGGATCATTAGTACTGCCAGAGTAATAGTAAGACAGTAGCTGAGACAAGCTCTCCAGAGCGCTTGGCTCTGTGCTTAATCCTCCAAGCTACACTGTCTCTGTATTGTACCAGTCACTGGTTTTTCAGGTGTAGGCACTTGCAAAAGCTAGGTTACACACTGGGGTGACCGTGCTATAAGAGTCCACATTTATAATCTGCATTGTGCTTGCTTCAAACAACAATCCTGTGATATTGCTTAAAATCCACATCAAATCTATGGACTGAATAAAGGAAGGCTTGCCATTCCTCATGTGAAGCTTAGCAAAGATTTCACTCACAGAGGAGTGCTCTTTTAAAGAAAAGGTTGAGCAAGGGAGTAAAAGAGGGTATTTAGCTAGGACTGCAGTAAGAGAACTGCAGTAGCTGATTTTAAAAAGGTGGGAAACTGCTCCCCACAGCATCAAAAGAAGGAATCATGGAGCCTAATCCTTGCTACATCAGAAGCTGAAGATTTTAAGGAGCTGCACAGACTCAGTTGTCAGAAAGGAGACAAAAGCCTATAAATCCTGGAGACTTCGATTGATGGAAAGAGCTGAGGCTTCCAACAAAACGCAGGGACAATATTGGTTGTCTTTATACTGCTGTGATAGACCTACTTAATCTGAGGGAAAATTATATTTAAGTTCACAAATAGCTTAAAATAAGAGACAATTCTGCTCTGTTTGAAACCAAATATGGATTCAACTTTATAAGGGTTAACTGTTTTAAGATTTTCAGTTAGTCTACAGTGAAACAGACATGAAGTGCACTGTTCTGTGAAGTTTGTTAGAAAAAAATAATTAGATAGTCCTTCATTGAATCTTTCCCTGTTGTGCAATGGCATAAATTCAGTTTATGATACTTGGTGTATTTATCAAAGTCCTAAATATCAAGCTACGTATTATTAGAATGGATCTCAATTAAACTTTAAAAACGCTGACCAATTCTGATTGGAATAATACTATCTTAGCAATAGTTACTCCTAAAAATGCTACAAAAATATCAGAAGATACCAAAAAGGAAAAATTATTTGGTTCGACTAGTGTCTGACAAAAAAAACCCCACAGGAGGAATCAATATGGGAATGTTTACAGGTGCTTGTGTAGGGAGAAATGAACAGTGGAGAATTTCATGGAATTTCATGGGAAACAGAATTCCACACTCCAAACCCACTGAAGCAAAGGATTTACTGTATAAGCACAGGTACCAATCAGAAAAAGGCTCAAGAATCAGTCTCTAATACAGCCCTGTGCCTTCACCATTAGGGCTTCCCATTAGACATCAGTCAATCCTTTGACAGACAGTCAGTGTAACATAGTATGATCACAGATGCTCAAACGAGTGCAGTGGGCAAACACACTGCTGTGTTGTGCATGAGATTCAAACAACAGAGGGCAGCACAGGTACCAATCAGAAAAAGGCTCAAGAATCAGTCTCTAATACAGCCCTGTGCCTTCACCATTAGGGCTTCCCATTAGACATCAGTCAATCCTTTGACAGACAGTCAGTGTAACATAGTATGATCACAGATGCTCAAACGAGTGCAGTGGGCAAACACACTGCTGTGTTGTGCATGAGATTCAAACAACAGAGGGCATGCCAAAAACTAATTACAGTAACTGAGACTCCCATGTCCAATGAACATGTTTGAGAAAATAGCATCACCTGAGCAAGGGATCAACCCCACAGAGGAATGAGCATGGTCAGTAAGCACACCAAAATTCCTAACCTCTCTGCCTCTGCTGAGTCCTTGACAGCTCTAATTTCTAGGAGTCTAGCAACAGAAGCATGCTGCACTGTATTTCTTGTACATCTCTGACTAGTATGGAGGCCTTGACTGAGATGTAAATGTGGTGGAAAATTCCTCCTGAAGTTCACAGTGCACAGAATCAATTCTTTTCAGTTCTGCAAGTGACTTTTCAGGATACAGCCCTAGAGCACACAGAATGTGATCACTATTTACTGACTAAAGATGGGGAGGAAAGAACTTTGTTAGGGTCTTTCAATCATTAGGTCCCATAGCAAGCAGAGACATTAGATATTGTGTAATTGAATAATCACATAACTCCATGAAAACTTAGCAGTTACATGACTATTCGATAGTCCCTGGAGGCAGGGCCAGCAGCAGTGTGCTCCTAGCCCTGCTCCCGGGTAGCCCCCTGCCACCTCGTGCTGCTGCATCTCTTAGAGGCAGTAGCATGGGGTGGCAGATGAGAGCTGGTTCGTGAGGGGAGCCAGTTTAAAAACCAGCTTCTCACTCAGACAGGCTGCCTGCACTTAGCAGTTACATGACTATTCGATAGTCCCTGGAGGCAGGGCCAGCAGCAGTGTGCTCCTAGCCCTGCTCCCGGGTAGCCCCCTGCCACCTCGTGCTGCTGCATCTCTTAGAGGCAGTAGCATGGGGTGGCAGATGAGAGCTGGTTCGTGAGGGGAGCCAGTTTAAAAACCAGCTTCTCACTCAGACAGGCTGCCTGCTGCCCCACAGATAGCAGCGGGGAGGAGGAGAAGCCCCTCCCCATA